AATTGTTAATTGTGAATTTCCTCCAAAAAATATTCTCCAAGTTGATAGCAGTAAAATTACCGATGATTTAGCCCAAGAATTACAAAATATTGATAATCCTCACAATCCCACGAGAATTATTGTTGCGGTTGGGATGCTAAAAGAGGGTTGAGATGTCAAAAATGTTTATGTAATTGTTCCTTTGCGAGCCTTTAAATCAGCCACTTTTATCGAACAAATTATTGGTCGGGGTTTGCGTTTACCTTTTGGCAAGCATACTTCCAAAGAAGCCTTAAATACTTTGGAAATCATAATGCATGATAACTTTCAAGAATTATTAAATGTTCGTAAAACTCTGAAAAGTAAATTTTTTGGACTGGCGGGAGAGGAAAATATAGTAGATAGCAGTAGATATCCGAAAAACGACCCTGATAATTCTGTTTCCCATTCACCAGAAGAAAATAGTTCTAGCCAAAGCATTTTCAATCCTCAAAATCTAGATGAGCGAGAAAGGGAAATCTTACAAGAAAGTAAAGAAGTAGTTCCGCCAAGAATAAAAGAGAAATTTGCTATTAAAATCCTCCGACAGAAAATTCAACCCAAAAACTTTTCTTTAAAAATAATCGAAATTAAAGGGTTAGGTAAAAGGTTCAAAGAATTAGGAGAAAAAGTTTCTTCCCAAAAAGAGATAAAAAACTTATTACAGCGTTATAAAATTGAGATAGAACCTAATCAGAAAATTAGTTGAAAAACCACCGAGGATGAGGAATTTACTATTGAAGCAACCCAACAACTTCCCGAAGAGGAGAAAATCAAAAGAAAACTAATTCAAGTTATTTTCCGAAAATGTTCTTTTATTAATTCGGCTAATCCGGTAGAAATTGATTCAGCCAATCGCTTAGTAGACAAGTTTTTACAAGCCAGCAATTTAGAAATAGTGTCTCAGTATTGGGAAGCTGCTGGCGAGCAATTAGCCAGGTTAATTCAAACTATTTTTAAGGAATTACATGTTGGGGAAAATCATCCCGGGCAAGTGGTAATTGAGAAATCTTTTGGCTATTTCCGTCCCAGTTGTGAAGTTGTTGCCAAAAATTTAGAGGAAGAATTTGTAAAAAAGAGTAAAGGTTTTAAGTTCAATAAAAGTTTATACCATTATGATACTTTTGATAGTAGTATTGAATTTCAATTTGCCTGTTTAATTGATAAAACCAAAGAAGTTAAAAAATGAATTAGACTTTTACAATGAGGAGATGAAATTTATATTCTTTATGGAAAAAGCCAAAGGCATTATTTTCCCGATTTTTTAGTAATAGATGAAAATAGTATTCATTGATTAGTAGAAATTAAAGACGACAATAATCCTAACCCCGAAATAGAGGAGAAAAATCAGGCGGTAAAAGAATGAGTGAATGCTTTAAATTTAGAATTGGGCGAAGAAGCGAGAAAAAATGAGAAATGAAGGTTTTTGTTCATTACCAAGGGGGATATGAGTAAATCACATGAAAATTG